AAAAATCTTTAGCAGTTGTAATAATATTTCCTGCGTGATTAGAATCTCTTTGCTGTGTATAATCCTTTCCTAGGTTTGTTCCATTTTAATATCTTCTAAGCTGGAGGTGGAGACCCTCATTATAAGCATTTATAACTAGGTGATGTAAAAAGAGTGAGCTCCAGGCATAGATGTATACATACAGAATTAGTTTCTCAGAAGCAAATGATATTATAAATGTAACATAATTGAAAGTAGGTATTTGCTGTAAAAGACACAGCAGGGTTGTTGGAAGAGACTATTGTACCAATGAACATATCTTACTGCAAGGCAAACTGTTATTGTCACTCAGGCTGAGTTATTGGGACTCATAGCTGAGTTATACTGATGGCCATTTTCTCTTCTGGTACTGTGTATGACACCTTCCGGTGCTTTAAAAGCTAACCAATAGGGATGAAGCTTCCAGGTCAGCATCAGCTTGAGCACCTCATGTCTGTGACTCAAGTGTGTGGTGTCTTCAGGAATGGGGTCTCATCTGAAGGGCAATGAAGGACTTAGCAACAGCCTTTAATGTTGGGGGGTGGGGTGGGGGCGGGTCTATGGAACCTCACTGGCCAAGAACTCCAGAAGAGGTAACTCATTCTGAGTAAAGCACTGATTCTGAGTAAAGCAATCCAGACCCAGAAAGACAAATGTCACACATTTCCTCTTATGTGAGGACGTTATCTTGGGGGTGGGGGCCGTTGAGGGAAGAAATTGATTGGTTTTTGAGACATATTTTTCCTTTGTAGCCATAGGTGACTGGGAACTTAATACATTAAAATTCACTGAGATCAGCCTTCTGAACACTGAGATTAAAAGCCTGCACCACCATGCCCTGAGCGTTGCCTCTTTTTAAATATTTTTATTAATTTTGAGAACTTCACACAATGTGTTTTGATCGTATTTACTCCCAGCTTATCCCAGATCCACTCCTGCCTCCCTTCCCGCCCAACTTCATGTCTTCTCTTTCTCTCTTTTTAAACCCATATAATCCAAGTCAGGCTGCCCCAATACTATTGAGTGAGGGGCCATTTTTGGAACATGATCAACCTATGAAGGGTCACACCCTTAAAAATGACTCTTCAGAAAGGGGCAAAAGGGACTAATGGAACAGGAGGAGTGAAATGGATTGTGGGATTGAAGGGAGGGTGGTGGCGTGGAGAAGGACAACTGACACTCATCTATACATAGCTTAACTGGTTTTACCCTCTCATTGGTGGCAGTGCCTTTGCCAGACACCATAGGCTTGCAAATGCCAGGAATCAGTTACTTCTTTTGAAGATCATTCTTTTGAGTACTTGAAAAATTAAATATTTGGTTTAGAAAAATGTTCCTGAGTTAAGATTATTGATAAAAATAAGTACAAAGTTTTTTTTACAAGATTAAATCTTGTATATATATATTTATATTTAAACTTTCTGGCCTGAGATTATTGGAGGACAAACAAAAGCCAGGCATGGTGGCACACATCTTTAATCCTAGCACTCGGGAAGCAGAGGCAGGCAGATCTCTGAGTTTAAGAACAACCTGGTCCATAGAGTGAGTTCCAGGAGAGCCAGGGCTACAAAGAGAAACCCTGTCCTGCAAAATTAAATTTAAAGAAAAAAGTAAGATTAGTGTTAAGGTAGTGTTAAGGTAAGGTCTGGCATTTTAATGCCAGATGCTAATTTTGATATTTACATTTATGGTGGAGAGGACCTGTGGCTCTAGCAAAATACATATGCCTTAACCCTGTTTTGCCAAAATACTGGGGCTTGGATGCAGACTATGAGTCCCAGGAAGCAGCGGCAGGATTTCAGAGCCATCCTCACTGTGACTTCCACGGGGCCTTGGTGCCAGCCCTTACAGTTGTCATGGTGTCATGAGGTGATGTCTGCGTAAGCGACCCCCCTTATAATATTAGGGGACACTGATAATTTACTGTTTGGTTTTATTATTGCTTCCTTTTCCTCTTACTATGGTTTTGGGCATAATTTTACTTTATGATTATATTTATTAGTTGGTATTCATGAAATAGTTTTCCAGTATCTTTGATTCTATATAGCAACTTTTCAAAACACAAATGATTCACATTTCATCACTGCATTGTTTAGCTCTTCTCACAGATCATTAGTGAAGAAATGGTGAAAATTTAAACTGTAAACATGCCCAAGCTTTAACTGTTTCTCTAAGAGGAACTCCATTTGTTTCTTATAAACCTTCCCATATATTTTTGCTTGCTATAATTAAATTTTCTGAGGATTTAATGAGATCAGTCGGATAAGCATGAATGCTGCCCAGCCCATTTTCAAGAGAGAATTTAATTATATACTTAAATGACTCTTTGTCTTCAGTATCCTTTTCTTGCCCTGGAGCTTAATTCTCTATTTCTGCACCTGTAGTGATGGCTTGGAACACAGACCCATTTTATCTGTTCTGCATCGGGCTGTGGTTGTTACAGTGGACTTAGTAGTCACTTGGCATTCCACTTAAATAATTTTTGAGCAACTTCAGAGATAGAATTTCATACTTCTTACCCCGTTTTTTTCTTCTTCTTGCCCAGGGCTTTGCATATATTAGGCCAGCAGTCTACGACTGTGCTACCTCTCCAGATCTGTTCATACCTCTTAATTTATTTGTTTAGTGAGTTTTAGCGAGGACAGATTTGAATTACTACATAAAAGACTTCACTGGGACACAGCTTAGCAGTTTGCCTGATGTGCACAGCCGAGGCCCTCTGTCACACTGCCCTTTGTGTGCCTGCAGGAGTTGTTCTGAAGTAATGCACAGATCTTCTTTCTGAGCATTGACCGTCATGTAGAAGATGAATTCTGTAAAAACTGGAAGACACTTTCACCGCGATCTGAGCATAACAGTGTGAATCACATGACTCCCAGGAAAATGCCAACTGGGAGGCAGCCAGAGCCTACATAAACAGTCTCCCATAGTTATAATGTGAGGAGCCACAAGGATGAGAGGGCATAACCCTGACATTTTTACCAAATTCGGGATGTGTGGTGTTAAGATAATGAACGCTGACTGCTCTTTTATGCTTGTCTTTTTGCTTACATTGTCTACATTCCTTCTGTCTTGTTTGAAGTTTGGTTTTGTAATAGAGTAGTGTTGGAAAGGTGGTTCCCTTCCTGATATACACGTATCTACATAGGCAAGCAGAAAGCACACACATATCTACATAGGCAAGCAGAAAGTACACACGCATCTACATAGGCAAGCAGAAAGCACACACGTATCTACATAGGCAAGCCGAAAGCACACATGTATCTACATAGGCAAGCACAAAGCACACGTGTATCTACATAGGCAAGCCGAAAGCACACACGTATCTACATAGGCAAGCACAAAGCACACATGTATCTACGTAGGCAAGCACAAAGCACACACGTATCTACATAGGCTAGCAGAAATGCAAAGCAGGGTCCAGATCATCTGCAGTGTTACAACGAAGAGAGTACGCAACCGTGGTGACAGAGAGAATTAATACGTAATCAGATGTCATCACAGGCCATGCAAATCTTTTGTGCTCCAGGAAAAATAAGGGCTAAGAGTCGATACCATCTCCATGGGAAAGTACCTCGGGTCAGAGCTGGGGTTCTGCATCTGGTCATGAGCTCGGCATTTTGTTTTCTTAAGTTTTTCCTCCCTGCCAGGGCTGTTATTAGCCAAGAAAGGGGACCTGGGAGGAAGGGGATTGCTAAGCCCAACATACTTACAGCTAAGAAAGAAACAGAAGTGAAGTCGGCCGTTATTCACCAAGGGTTACTGTGCACAGAGGGAAGAGACGCGCCTGCCCTGTGTGCAAAGGGGGAAGCCGAGGGCCTCATTGTGACGGACATGCAGGCTTCACCTGGGAGACAGACAGAAGACCACTGGGCAGTGATGCTGGCCCAGGTCGATAGAAAGGCCAAAGCAAAGGGGTGGATGATTGGAATGTTCCATGTAAATAAGCCTGCTTAGTGGAGGAAGTTGGGATGAGGCCAAGGCGGAGACTGCTTTTAGACTCGTGTGTACTGTGTGGCTGTGATCAAATGCAACAACCTTTCGTCATTTCTGTAATGGTCCCAGCACCTTCACAAGGACAATCACGAGGACCAGAGATTTTGTGTCTAATCAAGTACCCGGCACAGTGCCAGTCCCACAGTGGAGGCATAGGTACGGGAAGTCTTGTATTTAGAGACCAAGTGATTAAAAACACGTTAACACATTTTACTCCACGGCAGGCCATGTATTCCAACTCCTTGTGCAGCGACCTCATTCTGTAAACACAAAATCCCACAGCGGCATGAGCTGAGTAAGGAATGAGCATAACATTACGGTAATCCTCCGCTCGCCTAATTGCGTGACTGACCTATAAGCGAGGACAGGACTTAGAAGGTTGTGATATTCTTTAGGGACGAAATCTGCTCTTATCTCTAAAATAGTCATTGTTCCTGCGTTTTTCTCCTTCCGTATGATTGTCCTGGATACCTGAGTGTGTATTTGAAGCTGCCTGTGTGACTTGCTGTTTTCTGTATTCTGTTCAGTATGTAATCGCATTTTTAAACTCTGAGTTCTCAGTAAAAGAAGGCAGACTATGTGACCTAAAACTCCAATCTGCATCAAAATTGTTCTCTTGGCACATGTACAAAAATCCAATTAGTTTCCAAAGGACAAATTGTCTTTGGGGACTCAACTGATCTGAAGTTCATGACCAATCTGGAGGAAAATCCTTCTCTACGATTTTTTTTTTTAAAAAATCATAGATGATATACATTCAGGGCTGTGTGAAACCAATGCTCAGGTAAATTAATCAGGGCTATTTTCCTAGGTTTATTTGTAGAAGTTCATTTGTAGAAGTCATTAAACAGATAGGAACTTCTACTTGGACATGCCAGACATTTCTAAGAGAAAACCACCAGACAACCTTTGGGAGTGAACATTAAGGTTGATCGGAGTTGTGGTGACGAACACTCACGTCTGCTTAATTTCTCGGATGGTTGCAGGAGTTTGCCAACTGGTTAATAAGATGGAGGAGAACACCGGCAAGATTAAACCTTTCAACCAAAATGACGAGCAGTTCCTGGAAGCCTTTGTTATCTTCTGTGGCCTGGGGATCCAGAACACGCAGATGTATGAAGCAGTGGAGAGAGCCATGGCCAAGCAAATGGTGACATTAGAGGTGGGGACAAAGCTGGCGGGATCTGGTCTGCTCGGTCACGTGTGGGGCTTCTCCTTTCAAACAGCGGTCCATGGCCTCTGATTCTGAAGCTTTTGATCCAGATGGTTTCCTGGGGAGACTGTAAATATTGCTGCTGCTGTCAAATAGAACTTTAAAATAAAAAAAATTAAAGTATAAAACAAACCATTCAGTACAACCACATTTCGTTGAAAAGGAATATCTAAAATAACTCCTCATTACTTAGAATAGAAGTTACAATTTTTGAAAACAAGAATTATGTTTTTTTTTTGTCAAGTTAGAAGATTTAAACTAAGCCCGACCTTAGGGGAGCACTGGGTCCTGGTTCCATTGTGAGCTTTATAGGCCCGGTGTCCTCAGCTGCTGTGGATACATAGCTTTATCTCTTCCTGTTCTTGATTTGTAGATTCTAGGAGCATCTTTAAATCTGCCTGACCATTCATCCCAGCCTGCAGTTTTCTGCATGAATTCGATGGTTATTACAGGCCTCACCTGAGAACCATTTTTTTCTTCACAAATAGGAGCTTAAATATGTCTATTCATGCGAGAGTTTTATTCCCCTATTCTGTGTAAAAGTACATTTCTGAAAAGCAGTTCAAAATAAACACTTGCCGCCGTGGGTGAACCAGAGGTTATTTCCAGAGTGACTTAGAGATAATGCGTTGGTGTCAGCACCATCCGAGTGACAGTTCCAGGATTTTCTCTAAAATTAAGGAGCGCCACTTCAGGTGCAAACACTCGACCCTCCGTGGAGGTTTCACTGTGTTGATGAAAACCACAAGCAGGGGCTGGCAGTCGGAGGAGCCTAGTTACCTCTCCAGGAAGTTCGGGGAGCATTCCAAGCTGATGTTCTGTGTGCATTAATCGTACTGTCTGGGTAACCTGGACTTCCTGTCTTACCCCTAGGTCCTGTCCTACCACGCATCAGCGGCAGAGGAAGAAACAAGAGAGCTCCAGGCTTTAGCGGTAATCCTTTCTTTTGAAAACTTGCTGCCTACAGCCATCTAATTAATATTCAAGTGCTTTTCACTAGTGGTAATATTTAGATGGACGCAGGAATTATCGATGTTGATTAACGGTACTTTCTTGATAGGGTATAAAGTCACCGATAATACGAAACACCACTGACTTATGTTGACTTTGTAATATTATTCTATTATCCTGATTGTCTTTATTTCCAGTACTTATTACAAAGTTCACCTCTTTCTTTCATCAAAATTAACTTAGTTTTCATTTACTGGGACAACTGAGGTGACTGCAGATGGTTGGTTGTCGCCTTTAACCGGCTCTGCACTGTCAAGAACTGAGAGCGATCCGATTTCTGACCATATGGTTTACGGCAGGGTGCTTGAAATCGGGATCAGATAAGGTTAGTTCCCGGAGTCCTGTCATGATTCAGTATAAAGGGAAACGAAGGCAAGGAACCGTGTGAGGACACATGCCAGATGCTCTGGGTCTCGGCTGGGAATGCTCTGGTAGCGGTTCGTGTAAATTTGAGGCCCTTATACTTAACCCTCAATGGTGCGCTTGATGCACTTACAGTGCTTGCGTTTGAAATCCGTTGCTGTGGCACAGCTAGATGTATCCGAGAAAAAGAAATGTGCGGGTCAGGAGTGGAAGGTGGGAACGGATCCCAGACATTCTCTTTCCTTGTTATCGACACCGTAGCTTGCCAGAACATAACCTCTTTATGCCTTACCGACGGGTTCTCATGGAAGCTACGGCTGTGTTGTGAAGACCACACTGGGGCCTAGAAACACAAAAGAACTTCAAGTTCACGGCCATGCAGCTGAGGGAGTGAGATAGTAGTTCATACGTTGGTGCAGAGCACTGAACCCAGGAGTTAAAAGGCCAGTAGAAAGAGGCCTTGGAGACATCCTTAGTTAAATTGTCTTGGGTAGGAGTGTGAGTCCTCTAGCAAGGAAATCATTAGGTGATTGTGTCTGAAAGGTCACACAGGGTTTAAAAGTATCATTTGCCTTGGGCTTAATTGACATTTTTGTTGTTGTTGTTGTGACAAAAGACGGGCTCTAGTACAGTAGCCCAGCCTGGTCTGGAACTCACTTGAACTCCTGACATCCCTCTTGCCTCAGACTCTCCAGTCCTAGGAGTATAGGTGTGAACCACCTCACCCAAGTTAATTGGCAAATTTGCCTCGTCCACTAATGAGACCTATTACTCAATTACATGTACACTGTGAGTAGGAAACCATTCTGTGCTCTCAAACCCCGCAAAGCATTAAGCGGTGTCAAGGTAAAGGAAAAGCTATACCCTGCCAAGTGTCTTATGGAAATCCAAAGAACAAACTCAGCAACTTCTCGCGGCGATGCTAAAAACATCACTGGAGTATGAAACTCTGTTTTGCACTTTGGAAAGAGCAGTCTTTCACAAAAGTATAAATTTGGCTTTCTCAATTATGCCTATAATTTTAGCAAGAGAAAATCACTCTGGAATAGCGGGAAATTGCTGTGCAGTGTATTGTTCAGGGCCATCTGTGGTTCCATTTGGAAAATAGATGTCTGGCAGCTGCATTGAGATATGTAGGGCTACGTCTTTTGTAGGTCAAGTAATTTATTTAAATTGGTTGAAATTCAGCAGGCGATTTCAAGTCTAGCTTTATGTCAACCAAATAAAAATTCTTCTACAGCTCCAACTACCCAGGTGTCTGCATAACCCAGCAATTCCCCAAGTCGCTGTCTTTGCCATGTGTTTGCTTGCTTATGTCTGTTGCAACTGTAAAATAAATTCCAAAGCTGTCACATATTTTCTTAACTCCTATTTTGAAATTTTACTCTTTGGAGATTAAGCAATATATGTACCAAATGTGTATGACTAATATCCAGAATAAAATTCTCTAGTCATAACCAAAGAACTGATAGGAAATTCAAACATCTACCCTTCCCCACCACACACACAGCTTAACTTGATTTTTTTAACCCCATTTTTTTGTCTGTCCTTCTCTTGATTAACACTGAGTATAACAGAAATCAGGCCTTTCAACTGAGTGTGTTGCCATGATATTGATGATCCTTAGTCACAGGTTGCTGAGAAAGCCATAAAAGAGCCCCTGTCACCTGATCATGGTTCTTTAAAGTTAATTAAGATACCAGAATATAGGGCTGGGGGATGATTTGGTAGTTGAGAACATTAGCTACTCTTGCAAAACACCTGGGTTTGGTTCCCAGCACCCACACTGTAGCTTTCAACTGCCTGGAACTTCAGTTACAGGGATCCAGTGCCCTCGTCTGGCCACTTCGGGTGCCAATCACACCATGACACACACTTATACCTACAAGCAAAGTTATATACGTGAAATAAAAATAAATTAACCTCTTAAAGAAAGATACAGAATGTAAGTTTGATTAAACCAACAACTGGAACATGAATGTGTGCTTGACTGACTGGGTGGCCGATTGCTTCTTCTGTCTTCTGGTCCTACAGGAAAAGTAATAGGTAGATTAAAGTAAATAAACTACATGGTTTGGCACTGAGTCAGTTCTGGTCCAGCTTTGGCTGAATTTTACAGAATTGTGGATGATGGATCTAGAAGCTAACTGAATTTTTTGATGTCTTAAAGGGGCTTTGAGACTCTTTATTTGAGAACCAAATTAGAAAGAAAGGACTATGGTAGCCACTGAGGTAGGATTTCCTAGGACAGAATTCCCCTCATTTTTACCTTAATCTTTTGAAGAAAGAAATGCCATGCAGGCCCAGCCTTGATCAGGCGTCTTGGACTGATACAGGTGACTGCGGTGAAGGACAGAGCCAGGACCTGACCCAAATCTGATGCCTAAGTCAGTGTCTAGATCAAATATCTAGCAGCAAGATACTCATTGCCCTTGCTTTGGGGAAATCCTTTAAAAACTCACCAATTATAACTTGAAGCTTTCAATTAGATGGTTTAACCAAGAGTTGGCCCTGGGATCTTGATGATACCCAGTGCTACTGAACCGCAGTCATCTGTGGCCTCGGTAAGGGATTAGCTTCCTTAAATTGGGCCAGAGTCTAAGACCATCTCTGGCCTGTGTCGATGGAGGCATCCTCTTTTATAGAAATCTAAAACGGTAAGACAGCTACGTGTTTTTCACATACGCAAGATTTCAGTAGGTTATCTGTTTGAGTCTTCCTGTCTCACTTTGATTTTACTAATGGACAATTTCCAGCCATAATCTTATCTCCAAATGCTGAGATTCTGTTATTGAACTTCTCATAGACAGTGGTTGTGTGTAGCGTGGAAACACCACAGTTTTTAAGATAAGTTTTGTGTGTGGAACTAGGTAAGCAACATAATAGCAGATCTGTGTATATTAAAGTATGCTCATAAGTTTCTCTAAGTTTATACTTATAAGTATTTATATCTTATCTGAATTTTATCATGATGGCTTTGTTTTATGATTTTTTTTAAAAATGTGTAGCCCAGGCTGGCCTCTAACTCGTAATCCTCCTGCCTCTGCCTCCTGCAGCAAATCCTACTGGGGTGCACCACCACAACCAGCTTGTTGTATGATTTTTAAAAAGTGTAAGCTCCTTATCCAAGTTTTTAGTGTATGTCTTCCCTACTAAAGTTAAAGGAACCACTTATTTAATCCAAGAAAGAAGGAAACATACTGACTTAGTAATTAATGAAAATATTCAAGTTCTCTGCCTCTGTGTCATAGACACGTCTCTCTGGAAGAATGGGTTCCAAACTGCCTCGTGCGCCTAACGCTCTGTAGATTCTTCTCATTTGTGTTTGAGCGCACCCCTGTCTTGGAAAAAAGATACATTCTAATAGCAATAAAAGCTGTGTGTGTTTCCTTTTTCAACATATGTTTTGAGAGTTTGAAAGTGGGGAACAGAGGCAGCAGCCTTCTGCAGAGTGTAGGATAGCGGCTGACAGAGTGGCTTTCTTCCGAGGCTGGAATGACATTGTCATCCTTTGCCTAGGGCGCCTGAGATGGGAGTCTTGGTCAGGGCCCACAGGGGAGCATCCAGCACTTGGCAGGAGACTTTTCTTTGAAACCACTGGTATGACCTATCAAATATATTCATTTGATCCCTGAAAAATTTTTCCTTAAGATCAGAAATAATTGGAATATCTCATTTTTACTGACTAAATATCAAAGAGAAATGAAACAAAATGACTTCATAAAACATTGACATTATTGGAAGAATTTGACATTTTATGGAAGAGCGAGTTCAATAGCTACCCTTCTTTTCAAACTTATTTTAATAAATATTTCTTGTGCAGAAGGAGCCTTTTATTAATGGCTGACTGTAAAGACACGTTTCAGTCCCCATGATTTCTATTTGGGTCTTCAGATACTTAAGATCAAAGGCAGACTGAATGCCCTGATATCAGTGTGGCTTCTTTATTTATTTATTTATTTTGGTATAAAGAAAACACAATAGAATAGATTGCATAGCTCTGTGCCCATACCTGTGCCAAGACATTTCCTACAGGCAGAATAGTAGCCTTTTTAATTTAGGCCTTCTCCAAAAATAAAAAATTCAATAATATGTAGATGACTAGTGTATTTATTTTACCCAAGTGGGTTATTTTCTGTGTTCACATGCTTAATGGTTTTCATGGACACCATACATTTGGAAAATATCGTCATAGGTGGGCGGTGGTGGTGGTACGCACCTTTAATCCCAGCGCTCAGCAGGCAGAGACAGGTGGATCTCTGTGAGTTCAAGGCTAGCCTCTCTTCCCTGAGAGATTTGGACCTGTGCAGCTGCACCCTACTGTCTCAGTTCCACTTCTTGGTGCTGTACTCCTGTAACATGAGGGGCCGGCTTGTTGGGGTTTCTGTCCCGCCCGGTACCCCACAGCCGGCAACTCCCAAGGAAAATCAACCACACAGAGATCTCTCTAAGTTATAAAGCTGATTGGCCCATTAGGTCAGGCTTCTTGTTAACTTTTATAACTTATGTTACCCCATTATCCTTATCTATATTAGCCACATAGCTCCATACCTTTCTCA